ACACACACATTTACACAAACAGGCTGGTAATATTATCAATGGACTTCCAACATGTTTTCCATCATGGACAGTGTGAGTCAAAGTTGATTCCCTATGTCTTTTTTAAGTTACACAGATTCTTTTTAAATCAGGACTTTTAAACAAATGTCTCCCAATATTAACAATACTTCAAGTCCATAGTATAAATATCCCCTAATATCTTCACTTTAACATCAAACCATATAGTGGAGATTGCTTTTTTCAAGCTCTTGATATGACATTTTTTCACTAGGATGCATTCACAAACAAACACTTGGTTATTTTCATAGCACACAGATTATTGACTTTGAACCCATAGCTGTATTTATGGGGGTTAGACCCTATATATTGCATCCATTCCAGACCACCAAAAATACCCCCTCCCCTCCCAGTATCCCCAACTGTTTTCTTAAACCCAGGATATGCATCAGTCACAAGTCTGAGTCTTTGAAGTGGAATATAGCTCACGTGTGAAGTCTTTGTAGAATGGTTCAGACTTAGCAACAATACGGCTATTTGTAGAAATGTCAGTACAGATGAGTTGTATCCTCTTGAGTAATTAATGAGGGCATATAGAACCCGCTGTAAGGATTAATTGAAAGCATAATACTCAACAGCATAGATGTCGGCAGTCATAGATGAGCCCAGGAGGAAACTGGACCCCACGGCTGTTTCTTTAATTACTTTGTATTAGGTTCAAGGACACCGAGCGCTGCACTTTCCTCCGGGTTCAACTACCCTTGTAGGCAGTACATTGATTTGTCCTTCAATCTATCATCGTAAACTGAATGTCTTTATTTTGATATAACTGAAGAACAATGTTTTCTTTTGGTTTAAGTTATTTTCTAATTGTGTATGTTTTGCATGAGTAGTGGACGTAAATGTTACTAACCTCACTAGTTGGCGACAGAAGCAATCGTAAATATCATAAGTAGTGCTGTCAAAATTATCGCGTTAACGGCGGTAATTAATTTTTTGTATTAACTGCGTTAAAATATTTAACGCATTTAACGCATATGCAGAATGGCCCGCCCCATACGTGTAACCAGTGGCAGCGCCAGGGTATGGCTGGGGTAGGCTACACCCATACCAAGAAATGGCTTAGCCCCACCATGAAAAATGATGTTAAAGGAAGCAAAATAAAGTCTGCCAACTCGCGCGGAGTAAATTGCACAGACAGCCGTTAGTAAGATTGATTTCAGTAGCCACGGTTTTGAAAACTTTTGTCACGTAGTGATCGTCTTCTCAATAGAACATCTTTGATAACGGCGTGGTGTTGTTGCAGGAAGTCCCGACGGAGAATACTTTTGCTGTAGTACAGGGGTGCACATAACTGGTACGCAGCCGCAGGTTATGTGCGTAATCTCTCTGAAATGCGTACCGTCACTTGTGTCACAAAGTGCATTTGCGTACCGACGTACTTGTGAAGCTTCTCCAGAAGGCGGTTAGATCACCGGACGACAGAGTCGGTCTCCGTGTGCACAGACAGGGCTGCTGTTAACGTCGGTCTGTACAACGGAATTGTGCCAAAACTACGCCAACCGGCTACGGAGGGAGACTTCCCCCCCCCCCCCCCCCCCCCCCCCCCCCCCCCTTCACTGGAGAACTGCGCTAAAACAGCTGATCACAACGTCACACTCTGTGGTCAAGAAGTACTCCACTAGCCGCCCCCCCGTTCCGCAGCGTTTTGGATTTGGATTGTTTTGGATTTAGCGTTTTGCTTATGCAGCACTTGGGCAGTTTGGGCTGCTCAATTAATCGTATTTTAATCGCAATTACGATTTTGGCTTGCAACGATTATATGCAACATATTCCGGGCGAATTGGTTGTTAAGGACTTCCAACGTTCTATTTCCTTTTTAAACATTTTCCTACAAATTAAATAAATACAAAATTAAATAAATACAAATTAAATTAAGTTAAAAGGTGTTGACAAAAGAACAAACAAATCCAATACACCAGAGCATGCCAACTATAACTTTCATAAAGTCTCATGGAGTTATTAGGTTTCTCATATACTATAAGGAGATTCATGGCGAGTGCCGCTTGAATCTGTCAAACAGTGTGGCATTTACAAGGGTTTTACTCTGAAGCCTTTTTATAGTTCCCTCATGACCACACACCTGTCTCAGGCTTTGTTGTTCAGCACTGGGGGGCTTTTAACACGTCTGCATGCTGAAAGAAAATAACTTTCCCTCCATCACAGTGGAAACTCGGTAATAGAGATTTCAGCGGTTACAGTTGGGTTCCATAACAGATGGAGACAGAGTATTAGTAACAGCAGGACTCTCATTTTAATGATAGACATTTATCCAGGAAACATGGCCTCCAGTTCCAGCAAATGCACTAACAAAATAACTTTATTTGAAAAGTTATTATGCCCAAAATGTGTGTTAACACTAGCTTTATTGAAGATTAACTCTAGTGTGTACCATACACTGTCAGCAACAGAAGCTTCCCTTTTTCGTGGTATGAACTTATAACTATAGGAAGTAATGCAATATCATTTGTATATGTCCCACAAAACCCTGAGCCACGATGTGAAGGGTTTCCTGGAAAGTCGGGTGGCATAATGCAAAGAACGACAAACTAAAAGTCAACATTAACTTGATTTATCTTACTTTTCTTTCCTAATTTATAAAGAAATACAGGACCTTCTCTTAGGAGACATCTGTTTGTGTCCAGTGTGAAAACCTAAAGTCACCGTTGATATATATTAACTTAGATAACAATAGGATAACAAATGTATTCATTTAACTCAAACCATGATTGTTTCTGAAGCTAGCCCATCACTGCAGGGGCCTGCGAAGGTGCACTAAACGCTTGTGTTATTGGACATTCGTAGGATAACTCATATTGCAGAGAAATCATCAATGATTTAAGATGGATGACAAAGGGTTTTGTACTAGAGGTGTAATAATAGAATAGCCAATGTTTTGTAACACACCCTGTGATGAATATGACATTTGATATCAAGTAATCATATCAGTTGTGGTATGTGATAGGGATGGGAACGATTAATCAATCGAATATTCGAAATTATTCAGGTATTCGAATATGAGTTATGAATATTTTTATTGTAATCTTTTTTTTTTATATAAATAATTCAATGTATATGACAGTGCCATAGCTAAATGTGTTAGGTCTAAAGGTGTGTTTTACTCCGCTCACCGGACCCTCACGGCGGGCAGAGCTGCAGGTGCTGATCCTTCTCTCTCGCGCCCGGTTATACTTCACTCGCGTTTATGTCCATCAGATCTAGCTAGTTCTAGCTAATGACATGGCTGCTGCCCCTCCCTACACGCAGATCATGCAGACTCAAACCTCATCTTATGCCCAAATTCCAGCTGAGAGGGTCTTCTCTACAGCTGGCCTGATTGTGAATCGCCTCCGCACCCGCCTCTCCCCTGAGCATGAAGACATGCTCATATTCTTAAAGAAGAATGAGTATTGAATAGCTGCATTCTGTGCATAGGCCCTGTTATAGGTTGTTGATCTCTGTTGTAATAGGGTTACGTTAGCCTAACCCGTTATGTTGTTCGTGTTTGATCCCTCTTTCATTTAAAAACCAAGTTATGTTTTAAGCATGAAAGCTGTAGGCCTATAGCTGTCAACTGTTCAAACTGTGATCACCAGTTCAATACATTTGACAAATTCGACTTGGTTTCTATACTTATTTGAACATGTTTTTATTTATTTTTCTTAATTAAATATATATATTTTTTTTTTTTTGTAAAAATGTTTCCCACATTTTTTTTTTTTTTATATATAGGATATGTACATTTCGCTTAATCGGTTAACCGTTTATTTGGGGGTTGAATATTCGAATATACATTTGCTTTCAAATTCCCATCCCTAGTATGTGAGCAGTTCAGTGTGAGCAGAGCGACGTAGAGAATTGATTTATAGATGAAGATGTGTTCTCAACTGATCAAAGGTACCACTGAGCATTAAGGGATGTTGGCTCAATTCTGACAGTTGGACTGGTTTTGTGAAAACGAGATGGCCATTTAGTTCTAAGGATCTAAAAAAGGGGTTCTCATGTCGGGTATATTGAGTTGGATCCATGTCCTGCTTTCAGATGTGAAGGAACATTGTATATTGCATTGTTATAACAGAACCAGCTTGAATCTAAAGCAACACTGACAATCATCTGTGCTGTAGAGCAGCAGGACACTGTCTTGGTGTGGTGTTGAATATTTAATTAGTCTTTTCTGGGAAGCCACCGCCCATCAGGGTGTGTAGACATCCTGAAGAAGTGTGTATAAATAGCTCCCTAAATACAATATATGAAGAATTCCAGCCTCTAGATATTTATTTTCAAATTGATTTAATGGCACCTGTATTGGCACATGTTCGTATTTTTCAATACACTTTTTGGTGATGTATACCTTCCATTTATGATAAACAGTATAACTGTTAAATTCATTTATTTATTTTTATTTCATTTTCCATATGGTATTTTTATAACTCAGACCTATAGACTCACCTTAACATTTGATTCATCTCAGTGAAATAAGCTTGAGCTTTTAAAAAAATGTGAATAAAATATATTTAATTAGTATGATGAATGTGTTCTTTCCAAAATCAAAGGGACATTGTATTTAGTCTTGACCGAAACATTATTTTTAAAACATTAGCACATACCTCATTCACCACATACATTGCATGTATCTGAAATAAGATGCTATAAGCTAAAAAGAAAAGAAAATTGTAAAAATGTACCAAAACAGATGTCAGGCCCGTAATCACAAAAGCAAATGTAGAGTTTGATTATATGTGTAGCTTATGAGATGTGTGACCAATATCACATTTGTAAATACATAATTTTTGGGATTTGAGTTGTGCACCAGTCTTTGATCTACTTTGCTGACACTTCCTACTTCCTCTGTCCTATCATCTCTTTCCTCATCTGATTACTCCCTCCCTTTGTTCTCCATCACTCTCCTTTAATCACATTACTCTCTCTCCATCCGTCTGTAGAGCTGAGCCGAAGCAGAGCAGACCCTGCCCTCTCTGATCGGAGAGGGAATCACGACCACAGGTCCAGACGCAAAGACTCTCCTCCATCATGCAGAGCTCCGTGCTTCTCCTTTCCCCGGTCCTCCTCCTGTGTCTCCTCATCCCCATCTGCACCTCCCAGAGCGACGGGGACCTCGTTGTGCAGACACGCAGCGGTCCAGTCCGCGGAACTCGCATACCGGTGCCAGACCGAAACCACGTCACCGCGTTCCTTGGCATCCCCTTTGGTGAAGCGCCAGTAGGGAAGCTGCGTTTCCGTCCTGCTGAGCCCAAGCGCTCTTGGACGGATGTGCATGAGGCCAACAACTACCCCAACGCCTGCTTCCAGTATGTGGACATGTCGTTCCCCGGCTTCCAAGGCAGCGAGATGTGGAACCCCAACAGAGAGATGAACGAGGACTGCCTGTACCTGAACATCTGGGTGCCCTCCTCACCAAGACCTCACAACCTCACCGTCATGGTGTGGATCTACGGCGGAGGTACTGGGTCACGACTCTGACAGAAGGAGATAAGATATAAATTGGTTAGACATTACTCATTGGGTCAGCAGGGCCTCAGGCTGTGCCTTGTTGTAAAGAGGAGAGCATAAAATATAGCCAATTACATTTCTGTATTAGGATCTGCTTGATATATGTTCACTCATCAACTCTTTGTAAGGAGACGATCTGAAAGTAGTCCTTTCACTCCATGCAGAGAACACATTGGATTCAGTTAAGTTACAGTCCCTGGTTACAGTCCCTGTTTAGAAAGTGTTTAACCCAAATAGACAAGGGCATCTAGCAATTAATTGGATATAATACAGTAAGTTAAGGAGCACAACGTTTTACTTTATGCAGACGACGTGCTTCCTTAAACTGTATATTTGAGTTTGCAACTAGAAATCTGACCAAAAAAAGGCTGAGATTATGCAACTAAGACTATTAGTATAATTTCTGCTAGTCTAATACCTTTTCAACTGTTTCCATATAGATATAAAGATAAAAGTTCCTCTAGACCGGGGGTGTCAAACTCAAGGTCCGGGGACCAAATCTGGCCCGCGACTTCATTTTATGTGGCCCGCAAGAGCTCGCAAATAATCTAATACGTTTATTATATGGTTACATGCCACTTTACAGAAGCACGGTGCCCATAAACTGCATATCCCACAATGCATCTCGTTTTGTGACATGCGCACTGAAGAGACCTGCAATTATTTGCCCTGGACTTTTGCTTTCAGACGTAGTTAATTACGAAGTTATTACCCTATCCGATAATAATCCAATTCAGAGGCAATAATGTAATATAATACATTATTTTATATATTTATATATGTATATTTATATAGTTACAACCGGCCCTTTGAGTGCAACTATAATTCTAATGTGGCCCGCGATGAAATTGAGTTTGACACCCCTGCTCTAGACATTAAACATCCTAAACTTTATTAATTATTATATCAATACTTTTTTTAACAGCAACACTTTTAACTGTTTGTTTGAGATGAAGTGATACAATGGGTTACTATACTGTGATATTTAACATTTCCAGGGTTCTACAGTGGTGCTTCCTCTCTGGACGTGTATGATGGCCGTTACCTAGCTCACAGTGAGACGGTCATTGTGGTTTCCATGAACTACCGTATCGGTGCCTTCGGCTTCCTCGCTCTGCACGGCTCCCCTGAGGCTCCTGGCAACGTGGGTCTGCTGGACCAGAGGCTGGCTCTGCAGTGGGTACAAGATAACATCCATTTATTTGGTGGAAACCCCAAACAGGTTAGTTTCTCTCTTTTTTTCTTGTCTAAGGTGCGATCTCGTTTTGCTCCTGGTTTCTAAATTGCTGGGGTTTTTTACCAAACAGGTGACCATCTTTGGTGAGAGTGCAGGAGGTGCTTCAGTAGGATTCCACCTTTTGTCTCCAGACAGCCGGCCTACCTTCACCAGGGCCATCCTCCAGAGCGGGGTCCCAAACTCCCCCTGGGCCTCGGTGAGCCCCGCGGAGGCCCGCAGACGGGCCACGCTGCTGGCCAAACTGGTTGGCTGCAATGGAGGCAACGACACAGAGTTGGTGGACTGTCTGCGCGGTAGATCCCCACAGGAGCTCATCGACCAGGAGTGGCAGGTAATGCAGACAGTCAGAAAACAGTGTTTGAGATTCACTTCATTCCCTTTCATACATGGTCCAAATAAACTTGAGCAACAAATGTGGATTAATTAGCCGTTGAGGGATGTTTGAGGGATGTTTGAGGGATGTTTGTAAAAACTTCAGTGACTAGTTGTTTTAGGAAATGATCAACAAGATTAAACTAGATTAATAGATGAAAGTAATTTTTAATTGCGATTAAGATATGTATTATAACTAGCAGAGTTGGTAATAATATGACTTTTGTCGGTAACGGAGTAGTGTAACGCGTTACTTTTCTAATTCAGTAATCACATTACAGTTACTAACATTGCCCGACACGCGTTACTTCGTTACTTTTCTAATTCAGTAATCATACTACAGTTAGCCTATTATAATAAATAATTACTAGATTCTCCCAGAGCCGTGGATCCTCCCTTTGACAGACAAGAGGGATTTCTGCCGCAGGTTTATATTTACGTAACATTTGCACGACTTGTGCGTCCACATGCAGTGCATAAACATGGCCGAGTCAACAGCGATCACTTTCGAGGGGTGGAGGTATGCCCATTATTTTGAGTTCGTCCGACGAAAAGACAGGAATGTGACGGCGAGGTGCAAACTGTGTCCAGGCCAGAAGCTTTTATCCACTGCTGCAAACCTCAACAAGCACCTGCAAAGACAACATGCTAACGTGAAGCTAATAGTTAAGGACCCCCGAACCCAGAGTGAGGATGTAAACAGGGCCGCTCCCTCCGCAAAATGAAGCACCCTCCGCAGTCTGCGTGATCTGCCTGTAGGGAGGGGCGGCCCTGCGAGTAAAGTAACGAGTAAAGTAACGAGTAAAGTATCGAGTAAAGTAACGCGTTAGAGAGTAACGAAGTAAAGTAATATATTACTTTTTTTAAAGTAATAAGTCATATGGAATATATTGCTTTTTTTGAGTAACGACCCCATCTCTGATAACTAGTACCATTTCTTGACACTGTTTACAAATAAACCAGACAGGATTCAAGAACCATCATTGCATTGATGCAAATCATATACACATCAAATATTGCCATAAATCCATCCTGCTTACGATTAATTGTCCACAACGTTCTAACACAACTAAATAGACACCGTCACAGTTTGGCAAAATGTCAACTTACATTTTTATTTTCTCTGGTTGTCCGATTCAGTATATTGGAGGAATCAGTGTTTCCCAATAATCACCTAGGCAGCATGCCTTAAAAACTATAATATAATTCTATTCATAAAAACGTTTTTACTCTTCAGAACAGGTTGATTGGCTTGCCCTTGCGGAACGCATTTCCTCCATGCCAGTGTTTTCATTTGAACTCTGCTATTTCTGTCTTGTCTTCATTTGATTATTTCCCGCTTGACCTTGGAGGGATGGTTACGTAGGTTACTGCACCTTCCATATAGGTAGTCTATTGACAATCTTTAGGACTGTATAACCCCTAATCAGATAGGCTGTTCCAACATAAAGTGGGCTCTGGCTAACAGATACAATTTAAATGCCAGCCGACCCTGCAGCAATGTATCATATAATGTGATCAAATACCCATGGCACATACCAGATGTGCTAAGGTGCAGCACCAGTCTACACAGCATAGTGTAAGACAGCGGTTCCCAACCTAGTGGTCCACGAAGGCATTGCAAGTGGGCCGCCAAATAATTTCATTTCTTTCTTTCATTTATCTTTCTTTTTTTTTTACATGGACATAACAATAACACATAGGAGATGACATTCCCATCTCAGACAACAACAAAATAAAAACAGAAGAAATAAAGATACAGTCAGTAGGATCACTTCAACATTTCACAAACAAAAATAGGTTGACAACTAAAAACCACCAAAAACACAACATGGCAAGCACATTTATTGTTCCTTTAATCCCACTCTTCGTTAGAGCTCATTATTTCCCATTGCATGGCGTGTTCAGCCACCCTTTGATTTTTGTGGCAATCATTTTTGTGGCAATCATTTTATTTGTAATCTTCTGTTCAAACACCTTAAATTAAGATTACTCCTTGATTGACTTGAAATATGTATTTTAGCTAGAAGAATAGTTGTATTTATTAACTGTGTGCGGTCTTCATCTAAAGCCCAAATACAATATTAAAGGGTGTAAATGTAAATTCAATATTTGCCGCCAAATAATTTGCAAAACATTATGATTTGAGTGGAAACATTTTCATTATTAAGACTTTTTTTATTTTAACCTATTTTCCTTTCTCTTTCTTGATCCTCCTTAGCAATGGTCATTACAGTCCTTGACAGCGGTCTGTTCTACTGGATTTACAACGTGTCACATGTTCTGAATTGACCAATCAGAACTTTATTTAGCCTCCATATTGTTTATGGTTGAATGTGGGCCGCGAAAACATTTTAGATTCTTAACCTGTTCTACACCACCCCCCGATACCTGGGGGAAAAACGCGTCATCTGCAGGAAACCGCGTCTGAGGGCATCTTAATATTCAATAAACTATGAATGTTTTATATCCATGTAACGGGAAGAAACTCAGCTAACTCACTCATAACACCCTTATTACTTATCGTAGCTGTACGTCCAACCCATCGATCTGATCGTGAGAAGACACAGAATCGATCGTTACATACATCATCACTCCATGATAAGAACTCGCGAAGATATTAACAAGAACAGACATCAAAACATGTGGCGCTAGGTAACTAGAAACGGCAGAATGGCTCACCTTTGTCGTTGTCTGGTCAAAAGTGGTCTTCAATACCTAGAGACATTGACAAGTACCAACAGTATATTTATATCTCGCCCTGTCAATAAGCCTCACCTTCTTGGCAAAAACGGTATTGTTTTTGAAGTGGTGGAGAGACAATGCACAGTTTTACCCACTGCTGTCACCCATGGCCACAGCATATCTCTCTCTCCCAGCAACATCAGTACCAAGCAAGAAAGTTTTTTCCACAGCAGGGGATTTTGTAAACACCCAAACATCCCAGCTTCTACCTGGAAATGTGGACATGCTCATATTCCTACAAGATAACCTTGATGATGCTGAGTGAGTGAGTTAGAGTTGAGTTACTTGAAAAACTAAAGTGAAACTTGATTTATTCTATTACAGGGTCTGATTATTATATTGTTGACACTTTCAAATACTACTATCCTACTAAAATGCTGTACAAATCAGATTTATTATTTAATAAAGAAAAAAAAAGAATTCACTTTTTTTTCTTTTTTTTTTTCAATATCACGATAAATATCGTACCGTGGACTTTTTATCGCGATATTATCGTACCGTGAGTTTTTGGTATCGTTACATCCCTAATATTCCCCTTTTAGAAGTGTAGTTATGGTAATTTGTTCTGGAAATGTCATTTTCGAGCCTGAGACCTGAAAAACAGGCTCAGTGCTTAACAGGTTAAGTGGTCTCTGAGTTGAAAAAGGTTGGGAACCGCTGGTGTTAGACACAAGTGAATGGTAATGCTGGCCTGGATGCAGGGGCCTTCTGGGTGTTAGATCAATCTTGTGAAGCTCAGATCAATTCAGTACTCCATATTTCATCCTTTCTGAGCAGGTCCTGCCGTGGTCTGGCCTCTTCCGGTTTTCATTTGTCCCTGTTGTGGACGGAGAGGTCCTGCCCGACACTCCTGAGGCCATGCTCAGCTCAGGCAACATTAAAGACACTCAGGTCCTGCTCGGGGTCAACCAGGACGAGGGCTCCTACTTCCTGCTGTACGGAGCGCCCGGTTTCAGCAAGGACAACGAGAGCCTCATCTCCAGGGAGGAATTCCTGGCAGGTGAAGTCACTCAGCTGTAATGGATGGATAGAGAATATTGTAGAAGGATTGTTCAGCTGTTTATATGATTGATGAATTTAATAGTTCTCTTTTACTGTGACTAATCCAGAGGTGGGAAAAGTACTCAGATATTTACTTGAGTAAAAGTAGAAGGAATACTCTGTTACAAGTAAAAGTCCTGCATTCAAAATGTTACTCAATTAAAAGTACAAAAGTATAAGCATCAATATATACTTAAAGTACTCATTGTGCAGATTGGTCCATTTCAGAATAATGATAATGTGTTGATTATAATGATTGATCATTAAAGTGTTATCAAAGCTGGTAAAGGTGCAGCTAGTTTTAATGACTTTGAGTGAAGTAAAAGTACACCATTTACCTCTGAATTGTAGTGGACTAGAAGTACAAAGTAGCAAAGATTTGAAATACTCAAGTAAAGTACAAGTATCTCAAAATTGTACTTAAGAACAGTACTTAAATGTACTTTACACCATTGGACGAATCAGAGAGATTTGCAGAAAATCCACACGTTCAATTTCAAGCTTTCTGTACATCACCCCACATCACAGCTGAAGTAGTACGTTTACTTTACTGTGCCAGGTGTGAAGCTCAGCGTGCCACATGCTAACGACATTGGCCTGGAGGCAGTGGTGCTGCAGTATACGGACTGGATGGATGAGAATAACGGGTTGAAGAACCGGGAAGCCATGGACGACATCGTGGGCGACCAAAATGTCATCTGCCCGCTGGCACACTTCGCTCGCTCCTACGCCCAGCACAACGCCCTGAAGTCTAACATGGGAGGAAACCCACAAGGTAAGATATACGAGGGTGGTCCAGTTTGGCCCTCTTTTCCTCATAAAGCCAGAATTAATCAGGCAGGCTGTAATTCATCTGAAACCTACAACATTTGCATCATGTCTGAGATCCTGGGACAATAACTCTGATACCGCACATGCCTTAAGATTTACAGTTAACAATAAAACAATATTTTATAAAGAATTCACTCTGCAGAGGAAGATTGAAATGGGAATTTTGCTGTATTGTATCAGCCTTCTATATAAGTGGCTTATATAATATTGTTATACTAGGGAATTTTCTATTTTTCAAAGGGCTTATATTGTCCTAATAGCTTATCGTTTTATATAATCTGGAACCAAGGAATGAAAAAATCCAAAACTAAAATGTCTCATTTTCAATATGTGTACCTTCTCCAAACAATTGATCATATATCTAGATAATAAGATCTATTATAATCATCTATCTCTGCAGTTACAGTAACAAACCCATTGTTTAGACAAAACAACTGCAATAAATTCATATGTTTATTCCTTTTGCTCTAAAACTCAAAATAAACCCCTTAATTTATTAAGTTAGATGAAAACAAAGACTGCCAATATATGTTCTCTTCAAAGCCACCAGACCATATTTAATGAAACAGTCATTTTTCCTTGCTGATCATTTCATAATACACTTTATTCAAACTTGACAGAAACCAAATAAATCTATTCAAAACCGTGTTTGTTGGCCTTCCCTCTGTTCCAACAATCACCACATCTTGTTTGAGTGTTTAAAATAGTCTAAATAAGTAACAGATACCAAAAGATCCACTAAACAAATTCTTTACCAGTATCTGCAGAATGTGTTGGTATCACACCATTTCTATAGGGTCAAACTAACCAATGGTCCTCTTTTCCTCCTGCTCCTGCTCTAAAGGCCTCTACCTCTACCTGTTCGACCACCGGGCGTCCAACCTGGCGTGGCCCGAGTGGATGGGAGTGATCCACGGCTACGAGATCGAGTTTGTGTTCGGGCTGCCCCTGGAGAAGAGACTCAACTACACCCTGGAGGAGGAGAAACTGAGCCAGCGCATCATGAGATACTGGGCCAACTTTGCACGAACTGGGTGAGGCCTCACAGACTGGAGAATGAATGTACTTATCAACTGTAATGAGCAGCAGAGAGAGAGAGGGGGACACCAGAGAGGACAGACCAGTCCATCTTGATTAGGTTGCTTAGCTACAGGGTGGATGAGGTGGTCAGTTATAGATCACAAGTCACTCAGTCTTGCTACTGCAAAGCAAACCTCCATCTCTGTGTTTGAAGTCGAATGATAGATACTTCCGGGGAATCCCGAGGTCTGTCCAACTGTGACGCCATTGGATTTGTTTGGTCTACCATTTTGATCCAGATTCAAATACACCCCCAAATAAATTGGATGGATTTAAATGTGGCAAAGATCAAAGTCTTTGCCAAGTCTAGTGATGTTGCTCACTTTTCCATGTTTCCTTGTTGTTGCTTGCTCCACCAGCACTTAAAATGTTCTACTCATGCAGGGAAATATATCAGTATCAGATTGATTGGCACAAAACAGACATTCATGGTCCCCAGAGGATGAAGCCCACATTGGTAACGCTTTGACTTTGCATCGAGCACAAAAATGATGTCAAAAACATTATTAGAACAATAATTGTACTATATTAAAATATATCAAAAATATATCAAATATCAAAACAACAAAAATAAATTCCCCTCAGATCCAGATGTCCTTTGAGTTTTTCTGATTTATTAGAGATGATAAGCTTCTTAAAATCACCATTGTCATTTGGACATTTTAGCATTTGATTAGCATTTACAGTAGCGCAGAGGAGTGCTTTGCCTAAGCACACAGCATAACACTCACAGCTAGAGGTCTCCTAACAGGTAGATGTTAGGGAGAGGCAAGGTGGACCTTTAAAGGGTAAACCTCACCCGCTGAGGCCAGATATATCCTGACATTTAGATCAGAAATAATTAGCAAGTACGTGCTTTTCATTCATTAAAACAACCCCACATATTTTGTCCATATCAAAATGATGGTTCTGCCCTGCCATTACTGTAAATACATTACTTCTGTCTCTACACAACTGGAGATTTATTTATGATTCTAATCAAATTATGTCTGGACTTTTTTTGTTCTGTCTGAGCAAGTGAGTAATAGCCCTGCGGCAGAAACGGCAGAATGCTGATGCAAAGCTTTTGATTAAACTGCCACGTACTGAACTGATTTCCTTCCAGTCAGTCACAGAAAACAGCTTCAGGTTCAGATGTGTTTTCATAACTGCTTGAGAGACGCTTCAATATGTGCATTTCTGTTACTTATACGGATAGTTCTACTACGTCATGAAATAAATATTCAAACTGAAAAGAGGTTTATGTGTGACATTGGTAATGTTTCATGTCGTACCTCGGTTTGGGGGTCACGGTTCGGTACGTGTTCGGTACAACAAGAAAAAGCAAAAAAAAGTCCCAAATGCATAATTCCAAGTTTGTTGTTATTTATTTTTGAACAGTAGTGCAAGTTTCAGTTTAAAAATAAGGAACTCTGACATTTTTAATAATTAACTGTATTAAACAGTTAAAAACAAACCACAAACAGTACCACACACACTCAGATGGCCATATTATCTATAATGGCTGATGTCAAACAAAAAGGTTTCATCAAGCTGTAAAGCTAAAAAGAATGTCTTGAAAATATTACATCATAAATAATAAGAAAGTGTTTCAAGAGCGCATAGTCGTTGAAAAACATATGCCAAAAGCTTCCGTTATTTATTTTGGTCTCACGGCTTTCATGTCTGTTGGTTTATTAAAAACAGCGGGGATAAGCTGTTGAACTGCTGTTGTCTTTTGCCGGGCTCCGGTGATTGGCAAATCTGGGTGATGCCTTCTGATATGATTTAGCATGTTTGGCGTGTGTTCCAACTTCCAACCGTCCTCGTCCGATCCACCACTCGCACACTTCATCGTTATTGTAGTCCACAGGGAACCCGAAATGTTCCCACACAGCTGATTTAAAAGACGCAGGTGGGTTCTAGCCAAGCCTCCAGGAAGTGCGCCGGACTCAGATGAAAATATTCGTGGTGGCCAAACGGCGGTACTGCACATCCGTTTGGTTGCCAGGCCCGGAAACACTTTTTCCCATTGACTTACATGGGGAAAGAGTGGTCTGTAACTCGTTGGATAATTTTTTTTAAACTAAATAAACTACCCAGTATGAACGTTTGTATAGCCCTTATTAAAAACATTCGTTCCTCAAGTTTAAAAAATGTGCTAATAACGTTATTCTGAGAGTTATTTCCCTCTGCATTATGAACGCGCATCTAACCCACGGGATCGCGCCCCCCTGCACGTTCAAGTTACGTGTTCAGCACTACATGCGTTTATTTTTACCCATGGATGCACAATAACAACGGACCATATCGCCTTACTGCCATCCCACGGAGCTGTAATAATGGATATATATTGCACATGTTTGCTGTAATTCATCATTTGTAAAATAGTATATTACATGGGCTGTATGATTACATCTTGTACCGTAAATGTTGTATTGAATAAAGTTAATATTACCGACGTTAGATTAACGTCCCTGTAGCTTATTATTGCACTAAGAAGCGTATTGCACTGTGTGTGTATATATACAGTGCAATAATTATTTCATGCTAAATGAAGCTCTGTTGGATATCACTAGATCCTGTTACAACGTAATATAAGTACATAACGATTGATGTGTACATTAGCATCATTACTAGCTAGCTGCTAACTGCCGCCTCGTTAATATCAAATCCATGATAACAACAATCCATTACCATGCTGTCATGAACGCGCGGTGCTGTTACGTGTACGCAAATTGACGTGCTTGATATGAACGAGCATTTTGGTTAAAGTTGCGCATGCGCTATGAGCGCACATACGGGTACTTCTCAGGCATGCTGGGTAATCTGTGACGTTTCACTCTCTCAAAAGTTGGGCCATTTTATCATCATGTGCTAATGAGCAACTCTCATAGGAATGAATGAGGCCCCGCCTCCCACGCTGTATCCAGTTCTTATTATACATCCATGACTTACATGGGGAAAGAGTGGTCTGTAAATCGTTAAACTAAATAAACTACCCAGTATGAACACTTGTATAGCCCTTATTAAAAACATTCGTTCCTCAAGTTGCAATAATGTGCTAATAACGTTATTCTGAGAGTTATTTCCCTCTGCATTATGAACGCGCATCCAACCCACGGGACCGCGCCGCCCGGCACGTTCATGTGATGTGACATGTGATCGCAGGGATAAGCCAGAGTTTACAACCTTTGCATGTGGACACAACACGTTTTGACCCAGATTAATTAGCTATACCCAGTGGCGGTTCTAGAACATTTTACATGGGGTGGCAAAGGGGGGGCAAGAGGTCATGCCAAGGTGGCATGGGAGGGCGGACAGTACGTGGTATTTTATACTGTATATAACCTATTTATTGTTAATTCATGCCCTAACACAAGTGTTCTTAATGCACAAGAGAAACAAGGTGTTCAGACAAACAATTGGGTGCCCTTTGAGTCCCCCAACCTTACTTCAACAATTTTAAATGAAAGGAAACTACAAAATGTATTTTAAAGCAATGAATTAATGAAACAGGTTGTTTTGCATTACAATGTAAAACTAAATGTATATATATATTTTGTTTTTAAAAGATTGGTTGTCTTAGTAGTAGACAGACATATTTGCATGTCCTCACTAAGCATTATTACATATTAATTTAATATTAAACAAATCAAAATGGCCAATTATCCCAAAATGTTGCTGCTAATATAATCATATGATTGTCAACTTTAACTGATCAAAAATAAATTCTGAAAAAATACTTGAATTATCTATGAAATTGCAATATTGTCCCTCAGTTTGTTTCAACCCCGTCACGCCATACCATTTACCCTCCTATTAAGTTAAAATAATGGATCAGTCCATGTGTGATCTGCATTGAGGGAATTACATCACAAAAGTCTTCTGAAGAAAAGATGGCAAAGAAAGGCAAGTGTCAGTTTCTTCTCTTATTTCAGTTTTTGTATTTTCAGATTAAGATTGACATGCTCAACATTTCAACTCTGTTGTATGAATTAATAATAGTAAATAATTGTTTATTACAAAATAAACAATAGTTTTGCAAAATATTACAATTTTGTAATGTCCTTGACTTCCATGTGGTGCCATATCTTAGCTAAACAAGGTCTCATGCCTACTTTTTGTCAAAAACTTCAACCCTGTTACATTTTTTCAAGGAAATTCCTAGTAAGTATTTATATTTTGTGCCTGAGGTGGGAACATGTAAGTAGTCCACTACCATATGTTATGACCAAACATTTTGGTTTCATTTTTCAAAGATATAAAGACCCAAAAGGCACCCGATTCAGAGAATACTCAGAATTCTGCATACTGTAAGTACTTAATTATAATTAAGTACACAAATGACATCACCCATCTCTTCAGAGAGCTACAGGTGACCTGTGCAGCAACACATTTCAATCAATATTAGTCAATACTAAGAGCTGCTAGATTGTGCTGCTGTAATGGAATATGTAAGGAGAATAAGAACATACCATGTGGTCCAGCTGGAGTCTCCTCTGCCTCCTGATCCCTGCCTCTGGCCCTCTTTCTGATACTTCATCTTTATTCCTCACATATATTTCTTCTTCTTCTCTAATGTCTTCATCTCCTCCTCTTCCTCCTGCTCTGACCCTCCTGGTCTCTTCATCTCTCTTTTCCTTTTCCTCTTTCTGTTCGTCCTGATCACTTCTCATATTTCTTTTTGTTGTTGTTGAATCACTCCTATACTCTGGCCTGCAAGAGTCTACTTGTGAAAAGCACTGGTACAAATGCTTGTATAACTTTACGCGTTAGGCGGGCCATGTAGCCTAGCTAATATGTAGCATATCATATAACATCAGAAAGTATTGATCAAGCGCACACAGGCAGCTGTGTTTGGATCCAGTTTTTACGGTAAAGGATGTATCCTGGTTTCATTGATCTGGCCTCATGGCTGTGATGTGTAGTTTTCGTGGATTTAATAGTAGGCTACCGCGTAGTTTAGCAAAGTGATCGATCTCCCAGCTAACGCTGTCTGCGTAGTATTTTGTAACGTAACGCCCCAAACAGCGCCCGTCTGTTAAACGCTATCGATTCAAACTAAAGCGTTTTATTAATATTTAGTTTCAAGCTCTCGTCCTTAGTAAAAACTAAACTAGTGGAAAGGGAAATGCTCCAAGGGGAAGCTGATCCATAGGTGCTGGGACAGCTCGCTCCCTCTCTGCAGCGGTGTGAGCCGCGGGCTGTGTGAACGCCGCTCCGCAGTTTAATGCAGGGCCGGAGCTGCGTTTTTAACGGGCCTAAAATGATATTTAAAATGATTCACTTTTAACTAATGTAATGCTTGTTTTGTTGCGTGAGAAGCTTGTGGAAATAGTGTAGGTTTGTTTTAGTACAGTTTTAGGGAAACAAAAGTTAGGGGGGCAGCTGGGGGGGCAAGGCTCTACAGTGGGGGGGCAGCTGCCCCCCCTTGCCCCCCCGTAGATCCGCCCCTGCCTATACCATATGATATCGCCCGAGGAAGTCGTCATACTTATACATATATAAATAAAGATATATGTGTCAAAGCTCTAATCAAATTAACAGTTGTATTAATTATACTTGTATATGTATATATATATATATATATATATATATATATATATATATATATATATATATATATATATATATATATATATGTATATAGCCTGTGTTGTATATTTATACACACAAATGAACAACCTTGTGTGTGTCAAATAACAAGTTGTATTGTAGTGTTTATTTTAGTGTTGTTTTATGCTTATCCACATTTTGATTTCAGAGCACAGGAGAATGCTGGGCACAACATAAAGCTTAACAGTGAAGCTGGCAATGCTGAACAAAACCATCACTAGATCCTGTTACATCAGCGTAATATAAAAGTACATAACGATTGATGTGTACATTAGCATAATTACTAATGGCTCGGACGTTACACTAGCTAGCTGCTAGCTGCTAACTGCCGCGGCCGCCTCGTTATTCGTTAATATCAAATCCATCATAACAATCCAGAACGCGTGATGCTGTTACGTGTACAACTGACGTGCTTGATGTGAACGAGCCTTTTGGGGGGCGTGGTTAAAGTTGCGCATGCTCTATGAGCACACATACGGGTACTTCTCAGGCATGCTGGGTAATCTGTGACGTTTCACTCTCTCAAAAGTTGGGCCATTTTGTCATCCATGCGCCAATGAGCAACTCTCATAGGAATGAATGAGGCCCTGCCTCCCACGCTGTATCCAGTTCTTATTATACATCCATGGTTCTAGCTCCTGTGTGTTATCTGAAATCGCCATACTAACTTTTCTTCTTCTTGTATTTTGTTCGTTTTGTTGTTGTGTTTCTTCTTGTTCTTCATTTATTGTTTGAGGGCGGCTGGCAAACAGCTTTTAGGTGCAATACCGCCCCCTGGATTATATATAGTGAAGTGGGTACTGCCCTGAATGACAGACTTTTTTCCCACTCGTAAAAAAAAAGGCGTATTCGTCGTGTAACTGCATGTGCCGAACCGTGACGTCCGAACCGTGACGTCCGAACCGTGACGGTACGGGACGAATACGGATACCGTTACACCCCTATAACCAACTGATTTTTGATTTAGCATCCACTATTAAAACCATTGGAAATAGGTTAGGAAACATCTGTCAAATCAAGAGCAATCACCTCTTTAAACAGTCATCTCATGCTAACATCACAAGCTAGCATGATTTCAAAAGATACCATTTTAGAAGCATAAAAAACATAGATTATTCAAATGTACTGTATTTTCTAGTACTGACAATGGTTGGCTTTTGAACTAGCTACTTTAGTTTTACCCGAGTGGACCTAAGAAACGAGCAATGAGTGTATTTGTTATGTATATCTATTCTTAATTGTAACTCCTCCTGGTCCCTTTACTTTGTCCTGCAGAAATCCCAATGTGAACCATGACGGGATGATGGACAGCAAGAAGCGCTGGCCTCTGTTCACCGTCAGCGAGCAGAAACACGTCGGACTCAACACTGAACCAATGAAGGTCCACAAAGGGCTGAGGAACCAAATGTGCGCCTTTTGGAACCGCTTCCTGCCACGCCTCCTCAACATCACCGGTAAGCACTACTCCTTAACACTTCTTGTACTTTCAAACATGACGTATGTACTGAATACAGGTCAATACTAGTCATTATGTTCCCAATGGTATTCCAAAAAGCCAGGTCAAATATATATGGATGTCAATGAATTTTGGCAAAGATGTTCACCGTCCCCAGGAGATGTTGGTGATCCCCTCACTTTCCACTTTTCAATTTCAGCTCCACCAGCAGTTAAATTACCCAGATTGATTGGTGCAACATTTGGTACAAACATGCATGGTCCCGAGAGGATGAATCCCACTGACGCTCTGACTTTTTAGCATTGTCTACATTTTTATTTGAGCAATATTTTATTCCAACAAGCAAAGAGTAAAAAAAAAGAAGGCTATCGGCTGGGAAAAATAAAAAATAAAATAATAATAACAAAGGCCAGATAAAAAATCAAATGTTTACATCTAGATATGTTTAAGATATGTAAAGAGCTGGACATTTTATTCTGACATGCATAACGAGCAACATGGCTCCACTTTCCTCTGTGTCTCCTCTCTCAGATAACATAGACGAGGCAGAGCGCCAGTGGAAGGTGGAGTTCCACCGCTGGTCCTCCTACATGATGCACTGGAAGAGCCAGTTCGACCACTACAGCAAGCAGGAGCGCTGCACTGACCTCTAAGAGAGAGAGAGAGAGAGACGGGGAGGGGGGGGGGCAGCGAGAACAAGCCGTGGCCATTTCCCTCCATAGCCCCCTCAGTGAAGTCTAACTTCATTCAAACATTTCCTTTTTTTTTCTGTTTCACTCCACACACAAACACACAGGCACTGTTTATCTTTATTTGTATTATTTATACTATTTATTTATGTGTTCTTTTTATTTATGTGTGTCTCTGTGGAAGCTAAGAAAGGGCTATGGAGGGAAGTTGTCATCAATAAGGAGGAATATTAGAAATGTCAAAGATGTGTCATTACCTCGGGTATGTGTATGTGTGTGTGTGTGTGTGTGTGTGTGTGTGTGTGTGTGCGTGTGTGTGTGTGTGTGTGTGTGTGTGTGTGTGTGTGTGTGTGTGTGTGTGTGTGTGTGTGTGTGTGTGTGTGTGTGTGTGTGTGTGCCCCAGTTTAACTTAACAGGCCCATGACACTGCACCACTGCTGGTTTACTGTGTGTTCTGTTGATCTTCATCTTTTGTTTTTGAGGATTCCTTCTTTCTGACATATCAGGGTTTTTAGTTTTTTGGACTCAACAACACTGTTTGTTTGTTTCTGTCGAGGCCTTTTTTGTTCATGACTACTATAATGACCGCTCTTCCCATTTCCTGCGTGTTCTGCTCCTTGTGTATTTCTCCTGTGGCAAAGCCATAAGCTGGGTATTTTGTGTGGAAACGCTCCATGGACTATAACTGTTTGGTGCCTGATTTATATTTTAGAAAGTTCACCTAAATCCGCTTGACCTTTGTCAGAAATAATTCATTTTTGATGTTTATGGCACTCTGTCAGCTGTTTAGTACCATACCTGTCACTGTCTTATTTGCATATCAGCATAGATCAACAGAAATTGGGTAGAGGGGGTGGGCAGAGGAACTGGAAACGTCTACTGATAATGTAAAACTGGGAAAATGTGTTCAAATGGCCCTGAATGGTAACAGCTGCACTCTTGAGTTAAAGTGAGGCATTTCACTTCGGCCACTGTTAAAGACAATTCATCCATTTGAAAATATCTTTTTAATGAATTGATATTTAATCTATTCATATTTGCAGCTTTACTCTTACATACTCTTTAGACATTTTAGACTCTAATTTGTATAGAAAATATAATGTAAAGAAATGTCTCACTTTAAAGCCACTATTTAAGCATTTTAAAATGCCTAGCGTTAGCATTATTGGGTGGTATTATTTGGAAATGGCAAAAAACAGTACCCTTCAACCAAAAAATAAATGATATACTGTAATAATAATCCTTTGTTACACAATCTGTACGAAGATGATCCCTGTGAGGATACATTTGTACTACATTTTGAAATGTTTTACATTACATAGTGAATCAGTTGCTTTATGAAGGAATCCCTTAAAGTTAACCCTTTAAACATACAGTATAATGTGATGAACTCTAAATGCTTTTGTGTGCGTCTTTCAATCCAAATCTGTTTGGGGGGGATGTGATAAGCAAGAGCATGGCTGTAGCTGTGAGGTCACTGAGGTCATGTGACTTCTGTCCTTGTCAAATCTTGTTAACAGCCCTGTTCAGAAACCACTTTTGTTCCACTGCACTGAATTTCTTTGAGTGAGTGTATGCGCTGTCTTAGGTGTGTGTGTGTGTGTGTGTGTGTGTGTGTGTGTGTGTGTGTGTGTGTGGTGTGTGTGTGTGTGTGTGTGTGTGTGTGTGTGTGTGTGTGTGTGTGTGTGTGTGTGTGTGTGTGTGTGTGTGTGTGTGTGTGTGTGTGTGTGTGTGTGTGTGTGTGTGTGTGTGTGTCATCCACTCAGTGTCATGTACAGCTGTGATGTATTCCAATAACATTTCACCCCTCTCTGTTTGGTACAGTCCTCTCTGTTTTTTTAATCGTTTTACTTTTGATCGTCCCCTCTCTGTTTCTTTACTTCATTCGCTGTTTCCACCAGCTCTCCTCTCCCTCCCCATCCTCCCTCTCCTCCCGCAGCTGTTCCTCTCCACCACCACCGCCCTGTTGCCCTGCTTTTCGCCTCTCAGTCTTCCTCCCGCTTCATCTTCCTCTCTAATCACCCTCCATCCACCCTCCTGCCTCTCCCACTCTCTTCCTTTCATCCTTCACCCTCCCCACTCATATCCTTCTCCTTCCACCCCATCTAACTTTTCTCCTCTTCATCATCTCTCTTTCCTTCCTCATCCATCTCCTCGCTCCCCTCCCTACTCGGCCTCGTCCCGGTCCCCTCCCCCATCGCTCTCCTCCGTCCTCCTGCTTTCTCGTTAGTCTAATGGAGGCAGAGTAATTCACTCAGCAGCGGGGTAATGTGACAGAGCGCTTGCTCAGCCTCTGGCCTGCCAGCCAACACTGGATGGATGGATAGATGGAAAATGGAGGTGGAAAGGTACAGAGATGAGGCAAGGAGAAAAGGACAGAGGAAGGGGGGGGTGAGGCAGAAGGAGAGGTGGAGATGTGATGGAAAGATGAAAAGACAGTCAGAAAAATACATCATTGCATAACTCTTCTCCTTCGAAAGAACTGCGTGTGAGTTTCAGCTTACACTGTGTGGCAGTGAAGATGAATTATTAAAACGTAATTAAAAGTTGAAAACCTCACTTACTTAATAATAAACAAAAATATCCTGCTTATATTGCCCATACCACATAATATAACTACATAATTTCAATGTAAGTGATGTTAGAATATAACAACAAACCAACATACAATCTTTTTTTTACCCAAAACCATTGACTAAAAAGGTATTTTACACACTGGACTTATTTATATAGATTTACTTTGTTTATTTTGTATTTGTAGAATTCAAATCTGCTAACAGAGAAATAGACAAAAATGGTTTAGCGGATTTTGAGCCCTGAAAGTGGATATGTTATGTGCGTTAATATAATAACTTCCATATAATACTGTATGTACAGGTTATTATTTAATTGTAATGTTATTATCTTGTGAGAACAACATGTTTTGTTGCTATCTGGTTTGCAATACACATTGATCTTGTGTCCACGAAATAGTAACCTGGGCAAAACTTCCATATGTGGTGTGCACGTTATTATTTTGTGGGAATAAGATAATCCACAAGAAAGATTAAAAAATCTTTGAGAACTTTGGTGGCATTCCAAGAAACAATTCAGTTAGGACTTTTAATTCCTTTACCCCCCCCCCCCCCGAGTGTGTGTGTGTGTGTGTGTGTGTGTGTGTGTGTGTGTGTGTGTGTGTGTGTGTGTGTGTGTGTGTGTGTGTGTGTGTGTGGTGTCACTGTACCTGTCTGTCAACCTCTTTGCCATTTTTCTGTATTAACAAGGAGGGAACTGAATCCGCGCTGTGATTGGCTGAATGCTGTCCCAGCAAAGTGTCTCTGTTGGCATGTAAAGCTCCTATTTATGGACCAGAGTAGATTAGTCTAGCTTTAAAAAGAACTAAATATGAATAAAGGATTGTATCTGATGTCTAAAATACCAGTGAAGAATGCATGTGTGACTGGCTGTGTGAGTGACAGCTCCTCTCATCCAATGGGAGATCCCCGCTTAAGCCCTCCTTCCCCTGCCCTCCTATCAGATCCTTGTGCATGTCCTTCCAGTATATCCTTCCAAACTTGGACTGTTATTTTCTGTAAAATTTGTACTTTTTAACAATCTATTATCAAAGTGACTAATATAACTCTAATGTTAGGTACGTTTAATGTTAGCAATAAATATATCAGTAAAGGAATATATTTGATATTTAAATGCAGTGAAAATATAACGTGATTAAACAACAATGATGATGGATAGAGGTTGTGTTTTAAAAGCAATATTATTCTGACTAAAAATGAGTGCCATAAATCCTTTTTCAGTTTGTTTGACTTGGTTTCAGTCCTCTGCCTCATCGTTGTTTGTTCCAGTCACCAGTACTGTACGTCTTGAAGGCTTCTCTTCCCATGTCTCTGTGTATCATGAATGCTGACTTGGTTAAGCTATAGCAACAGAAATAAAGACACCCTGCTGCTTCTGTCCACACTGAGCTGTTATTGAGTCCAGCATGCACCAACAGCTGTGTCATTTTCTGAAAAAAGGCGAAACAAATATGTAAATGTATACAGAATCACGGTAATTAAAGATACCATGTCAACATTATGGGATAATTATGGGACTTGCCATGACTATTTTTATTTTTGTCATCAATTATGAACCAGTTTTGTAGACCCCAAGGGACACATGAGAGGAAAAAGAGAAGCTCATGTTTCCAGACATAATGTAAGATTTTCCTTTACTCAGGATGTTGGTTTCATGCTGCCCCCTAGTGCATTTTCTCTGTACCTAGAGCAACTTCGGAATGTTGTATTTTATTAAACCCTGCACTGATTATCGGCTTATTTCCTAAAAACCTAATTCTCTCCTCACAAAGGCCTCAGATCGATGATTATGTGTTTTTTTGTCATACACATAAATGACCCCCTCCCCTCTTTACTTATACGAGTAAAATACTCTTTCCTTCTTTGGTTTATAGCCAATTATACACTTTTAATGTATATAACATATTTCTTAAAGGTAGGGTAGGTAATAATGGATAAACCAGCTCGAGTGCGCTAGAATTGGAAAGTACGCAGCCGAAAAAAATCTGCCCCTTCCTTCAGACTTCCTTACAGAGCCCCTCCTCCAACACACACGAACGCGCACATGACCAATGAGGGCACGAGAAAAGTTTGTGCACAGATGGAAGGCTGACAGGCAGGTAGGCCATCCAGTTACTTTAGCCGGGCCGGCTAAAATGATTGGTTGTGCTTTTTACAGCGCCACGGCTTCCACAGATGACATTTTTTAATGTATTTTTTGTCAAAGCATTTAATTTATTCATTGCAATCGGGATGTTAAGAGCATTCCATGGAATATAAAAAAAAGTGTTTCTGAAGTGAATTACCTACCCCACCATTAAGCTTGAAGTTTTCGATTATTTTTTTTATCAACAAACAATTTTAAATTGTCCTAAATAGTTTAAGCATGGGCGTAATTTCCACTGGGGACAGTCCCCACCACTTTTCAAAATCCCATTTGTGTCCCCCCCACTTTTTAAATGCCCAATCCATCGTCTCCCGCTTATCCATGGTCGGGTCGCGGGGGTAGCAGTTCCAGCAGAGAGCCCCAAACTTTACTTTCCCTGGCCACATCAACCAGCTATGACTGGGGGATCCCAAGGCGCTCCCAGGCCAGCGAAGAGATATAATCCCTCCGCCTGGTCCTAGGTCTACCCCTTGGTCTCTTCCCAGCTGGACGTGCCTGGAACACCTCCCTAGGGAGGCGCCCAGGTGGCATCCTAGCTAGGTGTCCGAACCACCTCAACTGATTCCTTTCGACGCGAAGGAGGAGCGGTTAAACTCCGAGTCCCTCCAGGATGACTGAACTTCTCACCTTATCCCTAAGGGAGACACCAGCCACCCTGCAGAGAAAACCCATCTCGGCCGCTTGTATCCGCAATCTCGTTCTTTCGGTCATGACATCCTTCATGACCATAGGTGAGGCAAGGAACGAAAATGGCCCGGAAGACAGAGAGCTTTGCTTTCTGGCTCAGCTCCATTTTCGTCACAACGGTGAGGTAAAACGACTGCAGTACCGCTCCCGCTGCTCCGATTCTCCGGCCCATCTCACGCTCCATTGTTCCCTCACTCGAGAACAAGCCCCCGAGATACTTGAACTCCTTCACTTGGGGTAAGGACTCATTCCCTACTTGGAGTGGACAGTCCATCGGTTTCCTGCTGAGAACCATGGCCTCAGATTTGGAGGTGCTGATCCTCATCCCAGCCGCTTCACACTCGGTTGCGAACCGATCCAGTGAGTGCTGAAGGTCGCAGACCGATGAAGCCATTAGAACCACATCATCTGCAAAAAGCAGTGGTGCAATCCTTAGTCCACCGAACTGCAGACCCCCTCCCCCACGACTACGCCTCGAAATCCGATCCATGTATATTACAAACAGGATTGGTGACAAAGCGCAGCCCTGGTGGAGGCCAACCCTCACCGGAAATGGGTCCGACTTACTGCCGAGGACCCGGACACAGCTCTTGCTTTGGGAGTACAGAGATTGGATGGCCCTGAGTAGAGACCCCCTCACCCCATACTCCCGCAGCACCTCCCACAGTAACTCCCTGGGAACTCGGTCATACGCCTTCTCCAAGTCTACAAAACACATGTAGACCGGATAAGCGTACTCCCAGGCCCCCTCCAGGATCCTTGCGAGAGTAAAAAGCTGATCCGTCGTTCCACGACCAGGACGGAATCCGCATTCTTCCTCCTCAATCTGAGGTTTGACAATCGGCCTGACCCTCCTTTTGAGTACCTTAGAGTAAACTTTCCCGGGGAGGCTGAGTAGTGTGATGCCTCTGTAATTGGCACACACCCTCTGATCCCCCTTTTTGAAAAGGGGAACCACCACCCCGGTCTGCCACTCCTTCGGTACTGTTTCCGACTTCCACGCAACGTTGATGTCAACCATGACAGTCCCTCAACACCCAGAGCCTTCAGCATTTCTGGGCGGATCTCATCCACCCCCGGGGCTTTGCCACTGTGGAGTTGTTTGACGACCTCAGTGTCTTCCCCCCGGGAGATTGGTGTTGATCCCCCGTCATACTCCAGCTCTGCCTCTAACATAGAGGGCGGAGTTGTCGGGTTCAGGAGTTCCTCAAAGTGTTCCTTCCAACGCCCTAACACTCCATCAGTTGAGGTCAACAACGTCCCATCCTTACTGTACACAGCTTGGATGGTCCCCTGCTTCCCCCTCCTGAGGTGTCCGACAGTTTTCCAGAACAACTTTGGTGCCGCCCGAAAGTCCTTTTCCATGTCTTCTCCGAACTTCTCCCACACCCGCTGCTTTGCCTCGGCCACGGCCGAGGCTGCTGCCCTTCGGGCCTGTAGGTACCTTGCAACTGCCTCAGGAGTCCCCCTGGATAGCAAATCCCTGAAGGCCTCCTTCTTCAGTCGGACGGCTTCCCTGACCACCGGTGTCCACCAGGAGGTTCGAGGGTTACCGCCCCTTGAGGCACCTAAGACCTTGAGACCACAGCTCCCCGCCGCGGCTTCGGCAATAGAGGTTTTGAACACCGACCACTCTGGTTCAATGTCCCCAACCTCCACAGGAATGCCCGAAAATCTCCGCCGGAGGTGTGAGTTGAAGGCCTCCTGAACTTGGGCCTCCTCCAGACGTTCCCAGTTCACCCGAACTACACGTTTGGGCTTACCAGGTCTATCCAGAGGCTTCCCCCGCCACTCGACCCAACTCACCACCAGATGGTGATCAGTTGACAACTCCGCCCCTCTCTTTACCCGAGTGTCCAAAACATACGGCCTCAGGTCCGATGATACGATAACGAAATCGATCATGGACCTTCTGCCTAGGGTGCTCTGGTACCACGTACACTTATGAGCATCCTTATGTTTGAACATGGTGTTTGTTATGGCCAATCCATGACTAGCACAGAAGTCCAGTAACAAACCACCACTCCGGTTCAGATCAGGGGGGCCGTTCCTCCCAATCACGCCCCTCCAAGTGTCTCCATCATTGCCCACATGTGCGTTGAAGTCTCCCAGCAAGATTAAAGAGTCCCCTTCAGGAGCCCCATACAGGACTCTTTCCAGGGTCTCCAAGAAGGCCGTATACTCCGAACTGCTGTTCGGTGCATAAGCACACAAAACAGTCAGAGTTTTCCCCCCCATAACCCGCAGGCGTAGGGAGGCGACCCTCTCGTCCACTGGGGTAAACTCCAACAACGAAGCACCCAACCGGGGACTTGTGGGACTCAGTGAGTGAGACTGAGACCGAGACTGAGACTGAGACTGAGACTGAGACTGAGAGAGTTACGTGGGTTGTTGTTAGCATCTGGTGCTAGCTCGGAGCTAACGGAGATTATTGTTATTAACAATAAGGAGAGGGAGAGTCCTCTCCTGTTGGACTGAGAGAGGTAACGTCAGCTCAGGGAGGTAAAGGACTCAGGTTGTAAACTTTAGTCTAAGTTATCTCAGTGGGTCTCAAACGGTAAACAAATAATTCCATCTATGTAATATTAGTTGTAAAACAAGTTAAGAAATCCATCCAATGTGTACTATAGGTCAGTACAAAAATAAAAAACACAGTTTGAAAGGGGAGTGATTAGTCAAATATGCATAAATAAAAAGAAAGAATGCAGACTAGGTAAGATAAAGATAGGAGAGAGGAGTTTATCAAATATGTGTTATTGCTTGTGAGCATATTCTAATGGTGTTTTGATTATTGAAATATATACAGTTCTGTTTCATATGATTGTTGAGAACTGTATCCATAAATCTCTTAATGTTGCCCTCAAAGTGCACCAGATTGATGCACTCAACTTCAATTTAAAGAAAACAATCTTCCCGGGGGTGCATGCCCCCAGACCCCCCTAGAGGATGCGAGGTAATCACAAATAAAACAGGTTCACATGGATAGGATACTAGATAAGTGTGCACACTCATTATATACACTACACATTTTTCTTGGATTTGTTAACACTATAGTCCCTAATATATAGAAAGGCAGGAAATGGAATTAAATTGAGAAAATGTTTCATTGCGGAGGACCCCTGTTTTGTGTGTCCCCCACTTCTCAAACCAAAGTTACACCCTTGAGTTTAAGTCTTGTGTTTACTCATATTATTGTCAATTGAATTAATAAATGAATCCAATACCAACATTTTGGACAGCATGTTTAAATTAATAATTCCAATAGATTACTTTCATGGCAAAAAAGTTAACTTCAAAGTAAGTCTCAAATGTGTGATGTTATCAGCTGCTCCAAAGACAGAAAGGATTTTTTCTTTATACCGGAATGAGCTTTATTCTAGTATCATAAGAAGTAACTGTAACTCCTATTATAATGTTGTTCCTTCTGAAATATAGTAGAAGTATAAAGTTATGTTCATCCTACACTTACTTTGGACTTTATAGAAATACTTCACTTGTTTAAGTAAAATAAGTCCTTACTTTAAACCAGTGTTGGAAGAATTACTCA